AGAGACGGAGCAGAACACGGACACGTAAAGTCATCTTTTAGCGCCTAAACGGTCAAATACACGCCAAAATGTAACGCTTAGTGATTATTCATGTATACCTTCGTCGGCCATGTAGTAAATGAACGTAAAGAGTTGAGAATGAAAATACGCGTGTAACGTAAATTGTATCCGTGCGGCTCTTAAAGTGACAGCGGGCTATTTTCCTTCTGTGACTGTGTGCTTCATATTCATCAAACAACAAAAGACCAATTCAAAATCACACACTGCTCTCGAGTGAAGGACTTCTGTAGCTTTAATAAGAAACAAAAAAGTTTAATTCTTATAGTGAAGACTATACTGTTTTATTTGACATTTGATTGTTTATTTCTGTAGTAGGCTGTAAACTGCTTTAGACTTGCATAAAAAGCACAGTTTGTTTCATTTGTATCTTTTTATTCTATTGTATTTGTCCTTTGCTTTTTTTTTTTTTTATTACTGACAGTTTAATTATTTTCAGTAATTTTGAGGACTTTTTGTTTGTTTGAAATTCCGTCGGTCTCTACAATGTCGATGTCATAGCAACCTTATTTACAGGAAATATATATTTGATAATGTATCACTATCTTTAAATAAATCACTCATGTAAAGTTTTGGTCATATGGCCCCCTCATAACAGTGATTACAATATTGGCCAAAATAATCGTGATTGTGATTTTTGCCATAATCGAGCAGCCCTAATTCATTCACTAGTTTGTTTTCTCCGATTCCTGACGTGTTGATTTCTGCTCCTGCAGATTTTGAAGCCGGCAGAGAAGAAGAAGCCAAGCTCCAGTCGTCCAGTGACTCCTCCCAGGAACGTGGTCACCAAACAGGCCAAGAAATGAGGCTCGCGCGAGCCGGCCGGACTTGTATCATACGCTCGGATCAGGATGAACCGTCCACTGCGTCTTTATTTCCGTTCTTGACCTCGTGTTTTCTTCGTTTACCGTCCCGAGCGGCCGCTCGCATATTAGAGGGGAGCCTTTTAATCTCACAAACGGCTTTTTATTCCCACTTCAGGACGATGAATCAGTTTGACACAGCGTCTCCTCGCATAGAAATCCAGGAGGAACGCCACGTTTAAGATGCAAACCACTGTGAACCAACCAGTCTGTTTTTTTTATGCACCTGAAGCTTTTTTGTATTTTGGTCTCGTGAATGTGCCATGAGGTTTGACATTCAGTCCGCTTTTATCATTTAGATTTTTTACTTTTTTTGTTTTCATGATCGCAAACGAACGGATGTTGTGCGAGTGTGTGAACTGAAACATCAAGTTTCTGTGTTTTTGACGCGATGCCTTGTTTTCTTCTTCTTGGGTGTTGGCATGTTGATGTGCCGGATGTTTCTGTTGCATGCGTTAGTGTTCGAGGAATAGGACACAAGGCCGTGGCTTTCTCTCGGGGCATGCCACCTTCAGCATGTCTTCAGAATAATGTAGCTCCTCATCAGGTGAATCACGTCAGGAAAACCTTTTTCTTGCAAATTTCTACAGTATTTCATATAAATTCTCTGTTTAACCCAAACTCTCACTGTAAATATACAGGAAATGTTTTGTTCAGTCTTGGCAATAATTCATTTTTCCACTCTATAAATAATTGTTATACTTGCAGAATAAATCGCAGGGAGATGGAAACATTTTTGTAGCGTTCGTTTGTTCATTTCAGACATGCATTCAATTTAAAGGTGAAATTAAAATGAATTCGGAGCTAGGTTCACTAATCATAAAACTAAATTCTCTCTTTTATTTCATGACTTGAGAATTATTTTGTATTCCCAACAATACTTTTAAATTGTTCTTAAGAGGTTGAAAATTATATAAACATCACAACTGTTCTTAAATGACCAAATGTAAGTTGTTCAATTATGTTAAAAAAAAAATGAAGAAATTAAATTTTCTTAAGAAAAAATTTGAGAACTTGATTAAAAACGTTGTTCTTAAAAATACTTCAGAACTTAGATGTTAAAATATTTAAGAACTTAAACGTACTTTTAAAAAAGCATTTAAGATTAAAAATGTTTTTAGAGAAATATCTGCGAGCTTAAAAAGTTGCTTTTAAGAAAATATTTAAGAACTGAAAAGATGCATTTAAAACTATTTGAGAACTTAAATGTTCGTAAGAACGTATTTCAACATTTAAAACATGCTTAAAATGTTTGTGTGAAATTCATAGAAGAAATTTGAGAACCAAAAATTGTCTTAAATATATATGTGGAAAAAATTGAGAAATTAGATGTTTAAAATGTTTGAGAATCTAAAAGATGCACTTAAAAATTTGAGAACTAAAAAAAACATATTTAAGAACTTAAACGTTCTTAAGAAAACGTTGAAAATTTAAAACGTGCTTAAAATATTAACATAAGAAAAAAAAGTTGGGTGCTAAAAATACATTTTTTGAGAATTTGAGAAAATATTTGAAAACGTAATGTTCTTAAAAATATTTGAGAACTGAATTTTAAAAGCTCTTCAGGAATTATTTGAGATTTATAAAGCATTGCACTTGGAACATTATGCTTGCTTGAAAAAATGTTCACGACACTGTAATAACATTTCACCATTCAATCAATGAACCTCGACCTACATTTCTTTGTTGAATATTTCAATGCAGAAATACATCTGGAATAAAAGCGAGTAAAAAGTCTGGCAGTAAAATATGACTGGAGCCATTAACAAAGTGTTGCATTATTTCTTTATTATATAAACAAATACATTCTGTATTAAAATAAAACAAAATGATTGCAAAGATTTGATTCATAAACAGATCTGTGCAAATTAAGTACAATTCACAAACCCTTTATAGTTTCTCCAGCCCATCGTTTATGGAAATGCATATACTTTTCACGAAATGAAGGACAAGCATCACACATATGTCTCATAATCGATCCCTCTGTTCATTCCTTTACTTCCTGATGCACAAAGACAGACCATGAAAATGACATTTGATCGTCAAGCATGAAGTCACAGATGCAGATCAATAGACCTGCATTATGAATAATGGATTCTTGTATTAAATGCTCGTTCACATTAAAGTAGTTCTGTTCCTTTAACAGCGCCTCGAATGAGAGAAAAGCATTTCTATTGCATTGAATATTTCACCATGAATCAAATGTCAAGCACTTAAAAGTCAGTCTCATAACTGAGAAATATGAAAGCTGTTTATGCATAATTATCACCGTCTTCACTAGATCTGTGTTTTACGAGCTGCTTTGGAGCTCGAGCGTGTAAACAGTCGCAGGATCGTATAAAAACGTGAGTTTGAGGTCTCGTTGATGTTTTGCAGGAGAGGGAAAAATAAATACTCGTCCGTAAGAAGGCAATGTGGTGATCCGGTCCAGCAGACTGTGGAAAAGTGCTTCTGTCGTCCTGGAAGAAGCGAAACGTGATGAAGATCAAACCTCTCAGAAAAGACGGCCTGTTTTTTGCGTGAACTGAAATGTGAGATTTGGTGATGTTGAGTGACGTTACATTCCTCAGCTAAAAACTACATGCAAACAAACAAAGATTTCACACAAAAATGAAGATTCTGTCATCAGATTTCCAGCATGGAATAAAAATGTTCTTAAAAAAAATATTTGAAAATGAATTTTTCTCCACTTGGAAAATTTGTACGCACTTTTATATTTTTGGAAGATGTTCTTAAAAAAAAATTTGAAAATTAATTTTTCTCCACTTGGAAAATTTGTACGCACTTTTATATTTTTGGAAGATGTTCTTAATTTTTTTTTTGAAAATTAATTTTTCTCCACTGGGAAAATTTGTATGCACTTTTATATTTTTGGAAGATGTTCTTAAAATTTTTTTTGAAAATTAATTTTTCTCCACTGGGAAAATTTGTATGCACTTTTATTTTTTTGGAAGATGTTCTTAAAAAAAAAAGTGAAAATTAATTGTTTTCTCCACTTGGAAAATTTGTATGCACTTTTATTTTTTTGGAAGATGTTCTTAAAAAAAAATTTGAAAATGAATTTTTCTCCACTTGGAAAATTTGTATGCACTTTTATATTTTTGGAAGATGTTCTTAAAAAAAAAAATTTGAAAATGAATTTTTCTCACTTTTATTTTTTGGAAATTATCAAAACGTTTGCTATCTTTCATTGTTTTTCAATCTTCTCTTAAAACTCACTTTCAAAAAAATTTGAAAATGAATTTTTCTCCACTTGGAAAATTTGTATGCACTTTTATTTTTTTGGAAGATGTTCTTAAAAAAAAATTTGAAAATTCATTTTTCTCCACTTGGAAAATTTTTATGCACTTTTATTTTTTTTGGAAGATGTGCTTAAAAAAAAATTTGAAAATGAATTTTTCTCCACTTGGAAAATTTGTATGCACTTTTATATTTTTGGAAGATGTTCTTAAAAAAAAAATTTTAAATTAATTTTTCTCCACTTGTATCTTTCATTGTTTTTCAATCTTCTCTTAAAACTCACTTTCTCCGAGTCGTTTTTACGTGATTGTAATTCTTTTTATTTCATATTATTCTTTAAATTGTTTCGTTTTTCTTTTTGTATTTCAATGCATTTTTGTTTATTTTTTAAAGCGCTTTGAGATGCAACTTTTAAAGGCGCTATAAAAAATTAAGTTGATTATTGTTGTTTGCACAATTCATCAGTGCATGTTATTCTAAAGAAAGAAATAATTTCTCATGAACAAATGAAATGTTTTCATTGATTAATGCAATTAACGCAACGATTAATGCAAAAAACCTCAACATAATCAAAAAATTGCTCAGGATCAGCAGAAGTGTAAATATGACACTGAAATTTAAAAAAATTATCTAATTTTGATGATAAATTGGTAACACTTTACCATTAAGGTTTCATTTGTTTGCATAAACTAGCAATGAAAAATACTTCTAAAGCATTTAGAAATCTTAATGTAAACATTTATTAATATTATAAAATCAAAAATTTTATTTTTATTAACTAATGTTAGTAAAGATAAATATATTGTTCATAATAGTTAATGTTAACAAACGAGACTTTATTGTAAAGTGACTTTACAGATAAAATAATATATAGATGTTTAACATCTCATGAGCCAATATAAGTTGTCTAAGTGGTGTTTTAACAAATCAATAATTCATAATTCATCTCATATTGATCATTTGCGGCCTTCATTTGTCTGCAATCTGTATTTACAGTTCATAAATCTGATTATGGATCATAAACCCAGCACAGATTACCAGATGTTAGGAAACTGGGTAAATGATGACAGAATTTTCATCGGAGGCTTAACTAGTTCTGTGAGGCCTGAGAGTTTAATCTCATTTATTGCTCAAAACTCTATTTCTCTAGACTGTATGATTATGAAATATAATTCTTAAACTAAACCAGCGACGAGTTTGTCTCTTTAAGTTAGTGCTGCTGTACTCATTCTGAGATTACGAATAATTATGAGGATTTTTGCCGTTCATCATAATTACCGGTTTGACTAGTAAAAGCATAAAAACTGTGAACCTCATAAATTGGAAAAACTGAAGAGTATAAAATAAACACCGTCTTCTACTTGACAAAACGAGCACGTCTGAGGCTTATGATGCTTTTTGTTTCTGGACAGTCGCTGTTGTGTAAAAGAGCAGCGTGAACATCCCGAGAAACGTCTTCTTTCATGTTCCTCAGAAGAGATGACAGAATGATGACTTTTGTGTGTTTTTGCTGAGACGGTGATGTCTGGAGGGTTTGGTGTGTCACACACGTCTCTCGTGTTCGTGAGTTTTCGTGAGTTTTCACGAGTTCAGAGCGAGGTCTCGCTGGTGTGCGGTCGAGACGTCTCCTCCTCCAGAAGAGCGATGCGCTGTTTCAGCATCCGCACCTGCGTCTCGTGCCGCTCCACCATCGCCATCATCTGAGACTCCAGCTTCTTCAGCTTGTTCTGGTGCTTCTTCTTGGCTTTCTCGTACGCCGCCACCAGATTACTGCGTGATACAAACACAGCACAGCTTTAACTGCTCCATCACTACTCATCACCTCCATCGCTTTAGCTCATTGAAATAAAAACTTCACGAACATCAAAAACACTGTCATAAAAATGACAAAAGCACAAAATAAAATATAAATAGTACATGGAAAAATCCAGTGTTAAAAAAGAACTAACGAAAATTAGAAATGTTGCCTTGGCAACTCACTGAAATAAGTTGAAGTACTGAAAATAATTAAGGCTCAACAGAAATATAAAAAAGTGAATATAAATGACGAGTGCATAACAAAAAAATATATAAATTAAAACAAAAAAAAAACTGAAATGTTGCCTTAGCAACTAACTGAAATATGCTGAAGTACCAAAATTACTAAAGCTGAAATAAAAATATTAAAGCGAAGATATATTGAAATAAGAAAAGAAAAAAGCACATGAAACAATTTTTAAAAATAAAATTAAAACCAAAAATATTAAAATCAAAGCTGATTCTAAATATGTGACCCTGTCTGTGAAAACCCAGCTAAAGTCATTTTTTTGTGATTTACTGTTTTCTACAAAAAAAATCATCTTTCATAAGGAAAAGAACATTCTGTGAAAATACAACATTTATATCTTTAATATTGACTGAGTAAGGCCATGTCAAAGATTGAAATCATAGTGAAATTAATGGTTGAAATCAAACTTTGATGCTTGTCATCTCATAATTAGATTTTGAGACTTTAGCCTGGATTTCACAGACAGGGTCAAATATTAATAAACAGTATAACAATATATAAATAACACTAAAATAACCCTGGTAAATGCAAACACACATATTCAGCAGCAATTTTCCATGTGCAATAACAGCATTAAATGGTGTTCGGTGACATTTGAGCAGGAGAGTTTGAGCAGCTTGTATTAAACACTATTAAACGCTGAGACCAGCAGGAGGCGCTGCTCAGCCCAACACAAACATCCACTGCTCCACTGAATCCTGTTTTCAAATCAGTCCAAACCTCCGAGACGTTTGTTCGTGTGTGTTTGGTACCTGTTTGCTCGTTTCAGGTCGTTAACGAACTCCGCCGACTGCTGATGTCTGACTTCACTGCTCTTAGTCAGTCTTTCTAACGCCGCCACCAACTCCTGAACACGACCCTTCAGCTTCTTCTCTCTGCAACACACACACACAGACACAGACACAGACACACACACAGACACCTCTTTTGATTGATTTAATGATTTTCTCAATATTTAGATTTTTTTTGCACCCTCAGATTCCAGATTTTCAAATAGTTGTATCTCAGCCAAATATTGTCCTATCCTAAGCTTTTAGATGATGTATAAATCTCAATTTTGAAAAATTGACCCTTACGACTGGTTTTGTGTTCCTGCCAGGGTCACATATTATTGGAGTGACGACTGATATTTAGATCATTTTATGTCAGTATCTGCTGTACTGTTATAAAGATCTCATTGATTTACAGCACAAGCAGCAGAATTTCATCATCATAAATCAGACTATATGAGCCATAAAAGCCTGAT